TAGAGCATCTCTGCTATGAAGACAGGCTAAAAGAGTTGGGGCTGTTCAGCCTGGAGAAGAGAAGAGAAGACTCCAGGGAGACCTTAGAGCACCTTCCGGTGCCTGAAGGGGCTACAGGAAAGATGGGGAGGGGCTTTTGACCAGGGCTTGTAGTGAGAGGACAAGGAGGAACAGTTTCAAACTGAAAGTGGGTAGATTTAGATAATAGGAAGAAACTCTTTACTGCGAGGGTGATGGGACACTGAAACAGATTGCCCAGAGAAGTTGTGGATGCCTCATCACTGGAAGTGTTCCAGGCCAGGTTGGATGACACTTAAAGCAACCTGGCCTAGTGACAAGTGTCCCTGCCAATACATTGTTGAGGTGGCTCATAAAATTTCAAAACTAAGTATAGATCAAGTTTCCCAGAAAAAGAAAAATCTGCCTTCACCTACACCCTGCTTTCTCACTCAACCCAAAACCCTCCAAAGGTACAAGCAAACTAGAAAACAATTCCCTCTGCTCCTGCCCAACACACCCAGGCCATCTGCAGCAGTCCTGCAAATGAAGCCAAACTAACTTTCCCTCCTAATTCTGTACCTAAATGGTAAAGTAGGTCATAGTTCATTAATAGAGTACCATTGGGTATTTGGTGGAGTTTTAACACCTCTGCCAAAGATGTCAAATCTTTTCTCCCTCTGCCTGCTGCCTGTAACACATACAGTGTATAAACTGGCTATTCCTTCTGTGCCTAGAAAATCCAAAGTGTGACTGGTGAGTGTCAGTCTAAGCAAGCACCATGAAAATGCAGTTTGGACATATCTGACATCACAGCTACAATTCTACCACCTTAATAAAACTGAAGTGCAGGCATTCCTTATTAACACGGGGAAAAAAAAAAAGGGGGGGGGGGGGGGGGATTTTGGTGCTCTATAGCCCTATAGAAAGGATCATAGCAAAAACAAACCAAGAGGAGCACTCAGCCCAGACATTTTGCCTCAAGACATTTGTAACTGGAAGGCAAATTCAGCATGTGCAAAAAGTGGGTTAGCCTTTTTCTTTTCATTGCCCAGGCCCACTCCTCCACAGTCCAGAGAAACCAAGAGAGCCTGGTGACTATTCCTATTCAGCAGCACAACCCAGAGTATCCATGTTACCTCTGTCTCTGCTGCCTCCATCAGTTAGTGCTCATTCTCTTACTCTCATTAATTTTGGTAGGTGACATATGACTAGATAAGCAAGAAAAAAAGATCCATCAAATAAACATACTGAATGCCAATCACCAAATCAGCTCATAAGTATCTTGCCAAAAATACTGTGAAATGTATAAATGGCAGCTGTATCTAACCAATTTTTCAAGAATCACAATCCTACAAGTTCCATAGTCATTATAAAGTGAAAGACATATAGAAATTTCTAATGTCATCCCAAATGCCATTAAAACACAAAGTGGTGTCCTCACAAGAGCTGTTCAAAAGTTTGATGCTCCTGGGTGCAATTTAAAAGCATTCCACAAATTCATTTCCAATACCAAAACCCTGATTCTTCAACTTGGCAATAGAGCATACCAAAAACAGGGATCAAACCCCTATCATTGTTTAGTCACAAGGACATGTAGGATCCCATAAAAACAGAAGAGATGTTATTCTTTTTGAATTATTAGAAACACTTAGACTTACTCCTACTACAGTAAAATTTTGTTCCAGGGGCATTTTCCAGAATTCAGTCACTTCCTTCTCTAAGTAGTGTTGTATTGCTTTTTATCGGCAAGACCTGAACACTTTCTTTTCTTTTTGGGAAGTTTCAAGGGCTTGGGACCTTGCTTTTGCCTTTCTTCCAAAGTTTCATATGTATTTTCTTGTCATTGTCTCATGCAACTATTAAACTGAAAAATTCAGTGGGTATTTGAGTATAAAGGCAGACAAGTTGAAACAGCCCAATCAGTTTGGTATGTCCTTTTGATCATCATTATTCATTTCTTTTTTAATAGCTATGACTATTTTCTTTGCTTTCTTAAGCAAAGAAAAATAAGCTGTGATGTAGGAGGGGATACACACAACACTGGCCATGGGAGAAGCAGAAAAGCTTATTTGTACCTTTTAAAAAATCCATTCTAATGTGATAGGGATCACATAACTACACACAATTCAATCTAACTCAGAGGTCTTATCTGATCCAATTTTTAACAGATTTAAAAGCCAAAAACAAGCTTTATGTATTTACAGATGAATAATGTGTCTAATTTCATTCAGCTTTGTATTTTTCAAGTATTCAAAGAGCAATTTTTATTTAAAAGATACTACATTCCCTCTGCACCTTTAAGAATATTATATTATAGCATAGCACA